TTGATATTGATCGTCATCACTTTCGTGCTTTTATGCTAATAAATTTCTCCAAGATTAGTTGTAGACAGTTAGCTGATAAATATTTTCTTAGCCCGATTTAATTATTTCATAAACATCTATTTCTAGAAATATGTACAAAATTTCAATATAATGAATTATATTACTCAAGTCTCATTTCATTTCACATGAGAAGTTTAATACTGTTCATTTTTATAGTTCAAACTAGATTTAGATTGAAAAATTTCGAATATCATGATCTAAGAGAGAAATTGATAGTTTAACAGGAAAATATTGATACAGTTTCAAAACGAAAAGGAATACGAATAAAAAGAATGAAATAGAATATTATTACTTTCTTAGTAACTGCTAGCTGACCCTTCACACAGTAGAAATGAAACTGAAATTTGGAAAAACCAATTTATCATTGAAAAGATATTGTGAAATACTACTGTTTGGTCTTCAGAGCATATTTTTATGTTATAGTTGTGTTTGAGAAACTGCATAACTCTCAGTTGCTGAGCAGTCTTTTTCTAATTTCTTTATTCGACTATCTTCCATTATATCTTGAACATTCACTTAAAATAATTGTAAAGAGAAAACCTATTTTCTGCAAAAAATATATTTGCTCAAACTTGCGAATAGCAATGGTTCTATTCTGTATTCGGAAAAATTCTACGTAATGTTTTTTTCTTGGAAATGGGTGGAAATGTATTTTTTTTTTCATATGACCACAGAATTCTTATATTTGCAACGCATGAAGAAAAACAGTATCGTGTGATCTTCTTCAGTAAGCGCGTGTTCCGCTACTGCCGATTTGTCTATTGGACCTAATCTACAGTTTCTCCGATGTTCATTCAGCCTTATACCCATGGATCTTTTGGTGGTACCGATATAAACTTTTTCACAAGTGCATGGTATATGATATACCCCCGCAGCTGATAGTGGATCTCTTTTATCTTTCGCAGATCTAAGGCTTTGTAGTATTCTCCTGATGGGCTCGAACAATGTTTCAATTTTATGCTTCCCTAAGATGTTTCCAATTCTGTCTGTAACCCTAGGGATGTACGGTAGAAATGCACGTGCAACCGTGTGAGATTCCTCCCTATTTTGACTTGTGGAAGCCTTCAGTTCCATGGCCTTGTTGATCTCGGCTACACTGTATCCATTTGATCTCAAATTCATTTCAAAATGGTCCAATCCTTCTTGTAGGTGTTCCGATTCACATATTCTACGGGCACGTTCCGTCAGGGTGTTGATAATTCCCCTCTTTCGACTTAGATGATGGTTGCAGATATATGTCCGTATGTGTCGGTTTTCAGTACACTTTATGTATCAGTCGTGTGCCACGCCGTTCGACGAATACATCTAGAAAAGCAAACCGTTGTTCCAGTTCAGTCTCCACGGTGAACTTGATACTAGAATATTGAGCATTTTTGTGGTCTAGGAATAGGTTCAGTCTGTTCCTTCTATGTCTCTAGATGATGAAGGTATCATCCATGTATCGTAGCCAAATGGTTGGTTTGAAATCGAATCCCTGACGTACGAGGTTGTTTTTCCAACATGAGGTTGGAGGAGGTGTTTTGACAAGTAATATGTAAGCGATCCCGGTGCATTCACTACGGACGGGTCAAGAGGTTATTCAATTTTTCCGATATATTCTTCTGTTTTCAAGAGCACCGAGGCATTTCCCTTGTCAGCTAGTGAAACGGTGATCTACTCATCTGAGTACAGGCTTTTCAAAGACACAATTCATCCTCCGCTACAGTTCTGATTGCAGATTCCGTCTTAGCTATAATTTCTTCATTCGGTACCCGATCTGTTAGGTTCACGACTACTTTGGACTTGTCCAAGAATGGAGGTTTTGGGCTTTGGCCACTGTGAAATTTGTCATATTTCTTCCTGTGGTTTTCTCTTGATCTGTTCCGTTCACTCCTCTTGTACGTATATAAAAAAAATACATTTATGTTGGAAAAGAGTTTATTCAAAAATGCAAAGAGAACGTCAGTTCTTATAATGAAGATTTCAACTGAAAGGTTTATTAGTAATATACAAAATTACATTTATTTTAAGAGAGGTAGATCATTTTATACCAAAAAGTTGATTGCTGGACAATTTCTCCTTCATATTCCAGATGATTGAACCATTGTATCCCTAGTGGTGATTTTAGAAATGATGCGGCTGTTTTGACATTTTTTGAAAAAATCATTAACCAGATAAAATGTCTGCACAAGAATTATTATATCAATTGAATTTGGGTCCATTCCGTAAGGTATATCAAAATTAAATGAGCATTTTGGATATAAAAAATTTTGAGTGCGAACCTGTCCAAAACCATTTCGCGAGTCCTGCCCTCTTATCGTCACTTCCCAAAATGGCGTCTAGATACTTTTCCACATCAAAGGCGGCATGGCCAAGTGTCCATGCTGATTGTTACCTATGCTGTGACCCGGTGCACTTACTATGGGTCTCAACGGAACTTCTTTTTTATGTATCTTCGAAAGACCGTTGAGCATTGGCGGGAAGGCTTCTGTTCTCAAAATGGTCTTCTGAGTCGTTCCCGATAATGATGATGATTTCATGAGACGGTTCGTATTTCGCAAGCCTGATTGTGTTGGGTCTCTTTTTAGCTTGCGATAGCTGGACGGGTCGAGAGGTTATTCAATTTTTCCGATATATTCTTCTGTTTTCAAGAGCACCGAGGCATTCCCTTGTCAGCTGGTGAAATGGTGATCTCCTCATCTGAGTACAGGTTTTTCAAAGACACAATTCATCCTCCGGTACAGTTCTGATTGCAGCTTCCGTATTAGCTATAATTTCTTTATTCGGTACCCGCCGCGGAAAGCCCGAGAAATCACCACCTTTTGCTAGCACTGCGATTTCATCTTCCGTGAGGACCCGATCTGTTAGGTTCACAACTACTTTGGACTTGTCTAAGAATTGAGGTTTTGGGCTTTGGCCACTGTGAAATTTGTCATATTTCTTCCTGTGGTTTTCTCTTGATCTGTTCCGTTCACTCCTCATGTACGAGTAGGATATGCCATCCAATTTGTTCCAGTCTTCAGATTCCATTCCATTGCTGATTTCCAGGGGTAGTTTCAGCAAGGCAATGTCCACCTCTGCCAGTTGACTCCGTGTATTGTGAGGGACTCTTAAAGATATCAGCTATAGTTCATTGGCTTCAGGATGATATGGAAAAAATATGTTTTTTGGGAAAGAAAGTTTTTGGCTTTCTACTACTCCACCTGATACAAAAAAAAGGATGATAGAATCTTCCAAAGAAAGGAAGGAAGTAATCAATTTGAAAATAAGTAACTCTATACATGGATGTGTAGATCATGCAAAGAAGTAACTTTCAGACACAAACTGAAAGAAAGTNTGAAGATGAAATCGTATCTGGTGTAGTTTGTGAAATGTAGTTTTTCGTCAATAACTCAGAAATTATCAATACTTAATGATCAAAAATGAAAGATTCTGCAAGAGGAGGAGATTTAGAATGAAAAAGTCAACCGTTACAACATTTCGGGTTTATTTGTAACTGAATTCTTGGATAAAAAATAATCAAACTGGATAAAAATCAATTGAAAAAGAATTATAAGTGTGAGAGAGAAACTCGATTATTGACATATTAACTTTCTCACCATCAAAATCTGAATGGAATGAAAAAACTAGATAAACTTTGCAACAACAAAGACGAATTTCCGAAAGTGTATTTATTTTTTCCTAATAACAGATCCACGTGGGTATTTTCTGAGTGAGATATGACATCGAAGTCTCGTAGTCATCAAAACTATGGCATTTTTGGAAACATTTACGAAAAATGATTTCTTGGTGATTTTCGAAAATAATGTCGAAATTGACAGGTTTAGAATAATATATGATGAAAGGAAAAGAGCAGAATAATCCTGCTGATACCCTAAGTCGAATTGAATTCATTTCAATCCATTGTTTAATACTTACTGAAAAAATCAACAGATAAATTTGTAAAATCAAAGTCTCAATATAAAAGAATCCAGAAAACACTGGTGAAAACTTAGGAAATGATGAAATGAAATGCAATATTCTTAATCAGTGCCATTGTTCACCGTTTTGTTACAGTTGCATTCATATTATGAGATACCTTATCTGAAAAGTAGTTAATATTCGATTATTATCACATATTCAAGCAACGATTCGGTAATTCAAGGCCTCAGAAACCACTGTTCCGTGAACTAACAATTACTCCAAGGTGAAGAGGATATTTTCCTCATGTCAACGGTAAAACATTTTTTTTAATTCATTATTAATAATTACAAACATGACGTTTAAAACTTTTCGTAGAAATATTCACAATGGTAATGAAAGAGATGAAAAAATTCACTCGAATCTCATGTTATGATTTCAGTTAAGCTTTTAAACTCCACTACGTCTCTCCATTTGGGCATCGTCAGACTTGTTATTTTTTTTAAGTCTCCGAAAAACACTACAACCTCATTATATATGTTTGTTTGAAGGCGATTGACAATGTTTCATGATGAATTTCACTAGTTCGGACTTCCATTGTTAGGCTGAGAGTAAAAAACATAAATACAGACATACATTACAAACTTTACGCATCCGTAATATTAGTAGGAGTAGGATTAGTAGGATAACCAATGTATTTCATTCTAATCCTTTCAGTTTTTTTTGCTGATACTATTCAAGTACAAGTGGGTACCAATTGATTAACTAACACTCTTATATTAATGCACACTTGAAGCAACTGAACCTAAAATCTTGAAAATGCAGGTAGGTTCTTTGTATAGCGTAAATAAGCATCATGAAAGAAAATCAAGAATTTTCACCGCCAAGGGGAAAATAGGGGTTTGAAGATTGTATTGAATTTCGTCAGTTTTGGAATGGAAAATCCGAAATTTTTGGCTAATAAAAAAACATTGTAACTATTTGTTTAAAATGTAACGCGGGTGGAGTCGCAGGCAACAACTAGTAGGCACCTTCATAATTTGGTCGATTTTCTGTTACAGGATCTCAAACTGACGAACAAAAATGAGCATTCCTCCCGCAAAGGAAGCCGAATCACAGAAAAACAAAACGCCACAAAACCATGACACCATCATCGTCAAATCCAAAACAGTTTCATGGAAGGACAAATGGAACAACTTCTTCAAAAACATTCTTTATATGAAAG